TTAGTCTAGAAACGGTTGGCGACGGAGGATAAGGCGAACACTGCGTCGACTCATTTGTTGTTCCGCAGGTCACACGGAGGACTAACCAACTCCCACCCTTCTGAACTATTCAACTTTCCTTTCTTTTTTATTTCCGCCGCACCTTCTCCCCTCTCATCTTCTCCCATTTTGGCTGTGCTGTGCTTAGGGACATGTACATAGTAGTTTTTTAACGTTTTGTTATTTGCTACTTATTTCATCCTTCCAAGTCCTGGTTTTTCTGATTAATTCCTGATCATTTCTGATTTCATGCGGTAGTGATATGTAAATAATGGGTCATAATTCGGAAGTGGCAATTTTATCCTTGTATCCAGCGCACATATGCTGTTTGTTCACTCGTTCATTCGATTACCAATAAACAACCATCCCTTAGCTTTCTAACAAATTCCATCTTGCTCAACATTTCCTCTGTATTCTAGAGTGTTGAGTTGGGTTTGGGAAGTAGTTCATTGTGATCGATGACGCCCGAAACGTCTGGAGGAGGCATTGGACTATCTTACTATCGGACACACGTTGGAGAGAGAGATCGGTCTGAGTGGGTTTCGTAGCGATGAGCGCACAATTGAGCTTCTTTGCCAATACAAGCGAACTTACGAGTCCCAGGAACTAATTGAGAAGAATCTACGAATCGAAGCTTTTTCTCGGAACTTCTTTGCTCTGCAAATATTCCTCTGCTTAACTTGAAAAGTTTAATCGGCAAACAGATGTTTTAAGCAATTCACTTTCGGACCGGTACGATTGCCGGGAGAGTTGGATTGCGATTGCAACTCATAGTTTCACGCTGCCCGCTTGGCAAGATCGGCTTGTAGAGGTCATTGTGCTGAGGGATGTGGTAAAAGAGACGATTGGGACAAGGTGTGAGCATTGGTCATTGGTCGGGTACGTGGAGTGAAAGTAACCGTCACCAGGGCGTGGGACTGATATGCGATCGCCACCTGGCGTCGGTCACGGAAGTGCTAGTTCTCGTGTTTGCGTCTTCTGAAAACGCAGCACTGGATTAGCTAACCGTATAGCCACTGCCTCGGCTGATGATAGCACCCGTTGGCCTAGGCCCTTGAAGCAGCAGGCTGGTGTCCGATAGACAACCTAAAAAGCTTTGTCGAATTTCGACATTTGGACGAACTAAGGAAGCTCCTAGCAAGTATTATCCCGAAATAATAATGACATAAGTCGCAGGTAATAATGGTCGGCAAGTCCAGCTGCGTAGGTGTAAAAGTGTCTATGCGCGCGGCTTTAGCGAAGTCGGTTCAGTCATCAGCCAATCAGGAAAGGGTGCAGGTGTGGGCATCAGAGCTCGCGAGGAATCGGTTAGCTTCGGGCGTAGGTGCGTCGACAGCGGGAGGAGCAAAAGTACAAGAGCGCGCATAGGTAAGAAGATGAGTCAGCGCTGGGCACGCGGGTAGATAAAGGTTTGGAGGATGAGAACGCGGTGAATACGCGCAGCATTACCGAATTTAGGCTGCCACAGCTTTATCAGGATCGACTCGGTGATTGGAATCGACAAGGTCGACGAGAATAAACGCTGGAGAGAGATCTAGTTTCACCTTTACTTAGCCAGGCCGGTATATGTACTGGCGCCTCGTTGTTCGGCCAATAGATCTTGTTTCACAGGAGCAAGTGAAAGAGTAAATGCAATTTCATTATCTAACTCAGCTTCTGCAGAAAATGTGAGCGATAGATGTGCGCTGTTTAACTTCCTGACTAGGCCATCGGTGTTAGTGTTATGCTCTTTCAGACTTCTGTTATCCATGCATTTACCGTAACAGTGAGTTCATTAATGATGACCCTGCTTTGGCTGCTATGCGATACATTTACCTGAACATATCGGGGAGCGCCGAACATATTCTGTAGCCCGATTTATGAAGAATTATCGCTGAACAACGGATGTGGGTTTGTGGATAACGTAGTGCAAATCCCGGCTCGTGTATCGCCTCCTGACGATGGGTTCTAAGCCATACAATGCTACCCCGGTCTTGGTTGTAGTTGTCGCTGTGCGATTACTCTGAGTCGAGATTAAAGGCGCAACGTGACGAGGATATCCAGTAAAGGAATCGGTAGACATAATTCAAACATAGCGTACTCGTCATCACTACTGCTACTACTGTA